GAAATCTGATGGTGCTCAGCAGAGAACCCACCTGCACGTGGGTGCACACGCGCACACACACACACACAGGCACACACAAAGGCATATCTGTTTAAACCAACACAAGTATCTATACATGTGAATATACATGTGCAATTCACATTCACAGGTCCTGGTATAAAGTTGCAATTTTTCTGACTGCTATAAAAGATGCCAGTTTTAAAACTGTGCATTTGTTGCTTGCAAACTTTATAAATATGTGTAAACCCCATTATAAATAAATCGTGGCTGGCAGATGGCGTTTTTATCTACCAGCAATGGTTGCGTGGAGTTTATAAGTGCTTATTAATCCTCTGTTTTTGAATTCACAGCATGGACCCTGGGAACTACGACACGAAAAGGGTATGAAGACTTCATCATAAAACAGAGGGTGGGGGGAAGCCACCAATAAATGACAAAAACTCTCAAAGACAATCAGCTGCACCAATATCACCTTGTGTGTTGGAAATGCAAAGGCTCAGGCCTCAGTCCCGATCCACTGGGTCAGGGACGGACGCAGGCTGCAGAGTGCTGTAATTCGTGTGTGAAGCAGCAAGTCAGGTGGTTCCAGTGCCTGCCTTTCATGCCAAGTTTGTTTACTAAGAACATCTGTCTCTGCCCAAGGACTTCCTAGATGGCCAAGTGTGCTCAGGTGTACTCAGGGATGATCAGAAACTGTCCCGAAAAACAGCCTTCCACCAGTGATGGGCTTGGTGAATAAAGGCTCACTTTCCACCCCTGTCCCCCGCACTGGGCTGCTTCTGAGGTGTCTCCCAGGCCTCCCAGTGGTGATGTCCCAGTGTCCACAATCATGGAAACTTGACAATGCCACCTTACTATCTTCCTTCCCCACTACTGCTGAGATCATTTCCCAAATAAATTAGATACGCTCGAAGCCTCTTCAGGTTCTGCTTCCCAAAGAACCCCAACTAAGTCAGAGGAAATAGGAGCACCGCCCCTTCCACCTGAAGGACTCGGGCTTTGTGCCTTCTGACATGGCACATGGAGGGAAGGCCGGAGGACAGAAGCACTTCTTGCCATTTTCATGGGGCTGAGCCTCATGTGCAAGCCCTAGAGGACCTTAGTATGCGCCCTGCGTTCTTTCCTAGATTCATCCACTGACTACGGCCATTTTCCAGAAGGACCCCTAGCTCCAGTTTCCTCATCTGTAAAACATGGGTCCCCTCCAACTGGACCATCCTGTAAAGCTCCCTTGTTATCCTGTATGAAGCCACCAGGTTTAGGTTTTCACAGTGTTCCAGGAATGGGATTCTCCTTCTTTGCCTTTCTTAGAAAACACTTCAGAAGTTCCACGAGAACCAGAGTGCTATTCTGAAACCCACCGCGAAGCCTTGTCTGGGTGCAGTGATCTATTTTGCAGTCTTTCCAGATCCTCCTACCCACTTCCAATCTGGCTGTCACCATCCACAGAAAGGGATTTACAGATGGCACGCAACCTTGGGCCAGTGAGAGAACTGATGTGCGCTTTTGTGAATGAAGAATCTCAGCAAGTATCTGTTGACACATTACACATTCATCACTCCCGACACTCTCACATGGGGACTCTGTGCAGCCACTTGGTGGTGTGGAGCTAGCCATGGCTCAGAGGAATCCAGCTACTGATATGCCAAGGCCGTGTCATGCCGGGCATGCCGGGGCTGAGGACAGACAGGGGTGTCCACCTGCTGCTGGCACTACCCCCGAGATGTCTGTGGTGTAGGCTTCTACTCAGCCCAACTGGCGTTCATGTAGCAGCCGCCGCAGAGGAAATGAGAACTGGAACTGCCCTGAACCTCACTTAGATAATGGGGTCATCCAAGGAAGAAAAGCTTCATTGCAGCAGCTGGGCATCTTCAGAACCCTCGAGAGGTAAGGAGGCCAGACATGTGTCAACCATGACCCGAAGCTGATAGGTCATCTTGGGTTCACTCCTCAAAGGTCCTGTCCCTTCCTCCAAGCTGGGCCTCTACCTCCACTCAGGGCCTATCAGTTTTTGTCTTCATTAAAAATTACCTGTGACTCCCTCTGCCACCAGGCAAGCCTCAAGGACACCATCATACCTGAACCGATGGGACCTTGGTCCGTTTACCCCAACATCCAAGATGGCCTTAAACAGAACAGTCACTCATGCAGGTTGAGCAGGAACCCAGACCTGTGGTCCTGCAAATGTCAGAAGCCCCACCCATGGTGACTTAAGCTTGGGATTTAAGATTGAGTCATGAGACCCTGTCATTTGTCAGCCGGCTCACCTGATGCTACAGGGAGCCTCTTCAGGGACAGCCTGAATCAAAGCTGACTTAGACCACAGTGAGCAACCCCATGGGAGCCCCAGCCAGCTTCAGTGGGACAGAGATGTCATCTGAAGCACAGGTTATTCACCTAGGCGGGCAGAGGTTGGAGGGGGTGGGCATGGGTCTCCAGGGTCACTGTTGCAGAGCAGAGAAGGGCATTTTAAGACTGCTAGGCCCCATCTGGCACTCCTAGAAGAAGCAGAGTTCTGGGTGGGGTGGCGGGAGGTGCTCATGAGAAGGAGAGAGGGCTCCGGCATACTCCCACAGGCCCAGGGTGGCCTGGCACAGACTGTGGCTACTGTGCCCAGGGAGTCAAAGCTCCGTAATGCACCAGGAGTGCTGATCTGCCACCCTGCCCCACCCCGGCAGAAATGAGATTCATGGGGAAGCAGAGCCCAGGCTGGGGAGGGAGGAGGCTCCATTAGGTGTGCCTCCAAATCCTCAGCTCCAAGCACAGGCCGCACACGGCAGAGCTCCGGAAACACCGGATGAGCAGCATAGCTCTGCTGGCAGCTGGCTGCATGGCCTGGAGCAAGCCTCTGTTGCCCACGTGGGAGTGAGGCTCCTGGGAACGCCCCATCACATTCCTTGGAAGGAATGTGGCAGAAGAGATGGACGACCCGTGGGTACACTGCCGAGCTTACAGATGAAGGGGACGGAGATCAGAAGATCCCTGTCGTTCGCCTCATCTCAGATCTGCTTTGAGATGTCGTTGCTAAAAGGGAATGGGGGTTTTGACTGGGCATTATTTCCGTGTAACCAATCTTGTCATCTGAAATCCAAATCACGGATTTTAAATTCATAGCGAAATGTAAAAAGATTTGATCCCAATACTTTGGATTTTATAAATTGATTTCCCTGCAGGAAAAAAATATATGCTGTCTATCATCCACTAAACCAACACTGACTTCAGCTAAGAGGGCTACTAGAACCATGGACTTCTTACTCCCCCAAGAGGAAAATAAAACAAAATGGTTCTTGGCTTTGGTTTTCTATTGGGCTAGTGCCGCTGAAAATAAAGAATCTGGCCTTTCACAAGTAAGAGATGAAAGGATGTTCAAAGAAGATAATGTCACAACCTTTTTATGTATAGTAGACGCTCACACAGGAGGATCAGAACAGAATACGTGTGTACTGGGGACAGCTTCCCAGGGGACAGACATGAGCTACCCCAAAGCCTACGTGGTCACAAGGCAGGAGCCTGAGCAGCTGCTACCAGCCACTTTGTCAGTGCCACTGCCACTGGATGACATGGAGCGGGGTGTCCAGGCTGTGCCTGAGATCAACAGCGTAGGAAGGGCAAGGTGGTCTACATTAGTGCCAGGCTCTCCAGAGTTCCAGTTCACCACAGAACATTCTAGAAGACTAACTCAGCCATCAGCTTGGATTCCTTAGACCCTTCAAGGACAAAACCTCCAAAAAAGGCTGCTTGTATGAAGTTTGGGACTTACCCAATCCATCCTCATCCACACGTCCCCAAAGCAGAAGTGGAGTTCACATACTCAGCATTAGAACTTCACAAAACATGACTCACCAGATATACTTAAGTGTCCTCTTAATTCCTCTCCAAGCATCTAGTTTTACATGACCCAGCTCTCGGTTATGAACAGAGAATCATTCAGTTCAACTGGCCAGGGATGACATGTGCTAACAGGACCTCACCGAGACCAGGGTGACACTAGAGGAGGTACCAACCAATGACGGAATCATCCAACTATTTTGAAAAGACAACAGGGCCATCTCAGCCCCAATATTTTTTAAAAATCATAAACATTGCCAACTTCCCAACACCAAAGGATCTATCAAAAAATGACAGCATTTGATCTGGAAGGAAGAGACTCAGGACAAAAAGCTGTGGCCTGGGGCACTCACCCTGTCCTCTAAGCCTCTGGGAAGCTTTGTGGGGCAGCAAGGCCGTTCACCATCCCTCACTCCAGGGGTGGAACCTCCTCCTGAGCCCACCCAGACCCAGGAGGACGGGCCAGTGAGCGGGTCCAGGGCTGAACTCTGCACACTTGTGTGCATCTGCCCTCCCCGCATCTCTGAGACACGTTTTTCCCTCTATTGAAGACAAAGGGTAGGTGTGGGGCTGTTTCACCTGCAGCTGTTACAAGCAGCCTGTGATCAGCCCACTGGCTAAGAATTTGCCTCTGCTGTCTTCCCCACATCCTCATTTGATCATGAGCCACATCTGCCAGTCAAGATCTTGATGCATGATGTTAATTTTGTGCCATATTTGCCCTTACATGAATCCCTGCACATAACTGGGGTCAAGGGTGACAGGTGCCCATGCTCAGCAGGACCCAGAGGGGCTCGAGCATCTCCTGCTGTGTGGTCAAGCTGCAGCAGGGGGTCCTGCGGTGGAAACCCTGTGCACACAGAGCCCCGCGGTGCAAGGAGCAGGGAAGGCATAGCCCAGGAGGTGGAAGGAGGAGGCCGAGTCAGCCAGCCCACCCAGTCTCGGAGCCAAGTTCATAATAGGACTTCAAATGCAGGGTTAGACACTCTTGGCAGCTTGCTGCCTTATTCTATTACAATTCCATGTTGATTATCAAACCTCCTGCTTGCCTTTGTATTGTGCTTATTAAGTAAAACTGCAGGTTACACCTTCCTAGTACAATTTCCCAGTGGAATAGGTCAGTTGAGTTAAAGTTTTTGCCTGGACAACTACAGTCAAACTTTTTTTTGTTGTTTTTCATTAAAAACATACAGCACAGAACATTAGTCTTACATCTTTCTTAGTCTTAAAAAATATAAATATAGAGGGATAATTTATACAGGATGTATAGGTATGTACACCTTTAATATGCATATGAGAAATGGGGAACAAGTTTATGAAACTTGAACTTGAAGGAAACCTGCCTTTGGCGGCTTTTGAAGAAGGCTCTGTGCCCTCAGGCAGCTGCCCCAGTTCCTGGAGCAGGAGACTGTCGCCCTAGGTCCTCCTGACCTGGTGCAGGCGTTGGAAGAGGGCCGGGCCAGCTCACTGTTTCCTCTCCACTGGCTGCTGGAGGCAGAGTTCGCTCCCGGCAGAGACGATGGGCAGGCTGCTTTCAAGGTGGTGGCTGATGAGGTGGCTGATACTGTCAAAGACCCTGTCCTTCGTCCGGATCTGTGCGGGAAGCAAACAGAAAGTTGAGCATGTCCCACAGACAGAAGAAAAGAAAACACGCTGTATCCAGAGCCACCATCTGAATTGGCCCAAGGGCAAAGGCCTTTCTGGGACTCGGGAATCCCAGACCTCAGAGATGCTGTCTACCAAGACCCTGGTCACTAAGTGCAGCTGGTCCATTCAGTCCATTTCATCTGCCCACCCCTCTGAGACAGAGCCCTGAAGGTCCCAGCACACTGCTCCGTGGACCCTGTCCACCTTGTTCCTTCCATCCTGACCACGCTGGGGCACAGCCTTCTCCAATCTCTGCAACCAGGGCTACCGCGCCTCTCCGTCTCCATCCCTCCCTCACGGAAGCTTCTGCCCAGCACTGGACGGCTGGGGCCTAAGGACTCCTGTGCCCTTCTCACCTACAGGCACAGTTGTTGCCTGGCCTGGAAGTTCTTCCACCTGAGAACCTGGCTCAGCCTCGGCCTCAATGCCAGAACCTCCAGGTGGCCTCTCTCCCTCCACACCTCCAGGCCGGCCCCAGCGCATATATGCTGCCCTCACAGGGTGGGCCTGCCTGAGACTTTGAAAAGTGGGAGATGGGAAGTGGATGCCTGGCTGGACCCATGTAGCCCTCACAAGCCAGGATGCCCCAGTGCCCTGGCCTCCTTCTGCAACTTTAGGAGATTCCTCTTCACCAGCATTCATATGAGTTGTCAGGAGCCCATCCTCTCTCTGAGGTGTATGCATTGCAAAGCTCACCCAAGGTGCTCTGAGAAGTGCAAGCCACGTTCTCAGGGCTCTGCCAATGAGCAGCTCAAGGTAACAGCAGACGCTTGGAAATGAGGCTATTTTCCCCTACATGATTGATTTCCCTTCACCTTTCTCTGTAAGCCCTGGAGCAGGAAGAGACCTCCTGAGCTGCAGAGGCCCTGCTCCGTGGGCATCCAGCCTCGCCAATGATGAAATCTGTTGGATGAGTATGGAAACAGATCTTTTTCGCAAGACTTCCCAGCACCTTTTCATGGAGAAGGTTGTTTAATTCTCTGGAAACTCCCTGGAATTTCTGACCCAAAAAAAGACACCCTGGGTGATGCATTGCTAAGTATTTAGAATCTGGGGCACTTAGAAACTCAGAGTGAGAGCAGTATTCTTGGGGTGTTGCCTTGACATTAACCCCTTGTTTCTATTTTTTTTTTTAATAATATGTCGGTTCTGGAGGAACTGGGTGGATGAAGGAAGGGTTATGACAGAAAGTGCCTGAAATAGCAAGGCCAAGGCCCAAGCCACCTGAGGGGTATTCAGCAACCCCACGCCCAGGCCACAGCCCAGGACAATCCCATCAGAAGCTGGAGGAGGGGGTGGTGATGGTCCCACAGTGATTCCAACATGATGCCAAAGCTGAGCACCGCCAGGTGGTGTCTGCGGTACACAGCTGGCCAACGCCAGCACATAGAACAAGTCGTACATTTACTGTTAAATTAAATAAAAGGGTCAATTCACCGAATTCCTATAAATACTTGCTAGCACTTCAATCTGGCTCCTGCCTGGGAAACTTGCAGCCCCTAGATCCATCTGTGTGGGTCCCCAAGTGGCACTAGAAATGCCAGGGGCTGATTAAAACTACCCAGCCCCTGGGACAAACCTAGGCTCCAGACACCTAAAAAGACGCTACCATAGTAAGGACACACTGAATGCTCACCCCGGACAACTGTGCAGGGCTCTGCGTAGCAAAGAGGAAATTAAAATGGAGAGAAAAGCTTCATTCTTATCAGTCTACAGAGAAGAGACCAAAATAGGCATATATTTAAAAAGAAGAAGGGTCTAAGATCAATAATCTAAGCTTCTACCTTAAGACACTAGAAAAAGAAAAGAGCAAATTAACCTAAAGTAAACAGAAATAAAGACTGAAAATGAGAAGAGAAATCAGTGAAATTGAAAGCACGGAATCAATAGAGAAAATCAGTGAAACCAAAATATTAACAGAATTGTTGAGCTATTAGCAAGGCTAAGGAAGATGAGCAGTGGAGGACAAAAATCACAAGTAAAAATGAAAGAGAATCACTGATCCCATGAACATTAAAAATATGATAAGGGAATACTGTGAACAACTCTATGCCCATGAATTTGATAAACCTACATGACACAGTGGACCAATTCCCTGAAAGACACAATCTGCTAAAACTCACGTGAGAAGAAATAAATGATCTGAATAGGCCTACCTCGTAAAGAAATTGAATCAATGGTTAATAACCTTCCTCAAAAGAAAAAACCAGGCCCAGATGGGTTCATTGATGATTTCTTTTTCTTTTCTTTCTTTTTTTTTCAGAAAGCTTCAAGTTTTTTTTTAATTTTACTATTATTTTTTTAAAATACACAACAGCAGTGGAATGCATTACAATTCTTTGAGGAAAATTTATACTAACTTTCTAAAATGTCTTTCAGAAGATAGAATCAAAGAGAATACTTCCTGATGCATTCTATGAAGCCAGCATTGCCTTAATACCAAAACCTGGCAAAGATATTATAGGAAAACCATAGAACAGTATCTCTAGTGAACACATATGCAAAAATCCAAAAATATTATCAAATCAAATTCAACAATGTATAAAAATGTATATGTCACAACTGAGGGATTTATTTCAGATGTTTAAAGTTGGCACAAAATTAAGAATCCATATAGTATTTATTACATTAACAAGTTAAAGAAGAAAAAATCATGTGACAATATCAATAGATACAGAAAAAGTATTTGACAAAATCCAACACCCTACATGATTTAAAAAAAAAAAAATCTCTCAATAAACTAGGGATAGAAGGGAAGATCCTAAACTAAAAACCTACAGCTAATATTATAACTAAAAGTGAAAAACCAAAGTTTTTCCAGTAAGATCCAGAACAAGGCAAGGATGCCCTTTCTCACCATCCTTTTCAATATCATACTAGAAGTCCCAATGTCTTGCTCAAAACAATAATACAAGAAAAGGTATTCATATTGGCAAAGAAGAAATAAAACTACATTTGTTCACAGACTCATGATTATCTATCTCTTAAGAAAATCTGAAAGAATCAACAACCAAAAAAACCCCTCCTTCAACTAATAAGCAATTATAGTAAGGTTGCAAGTTACAAGGTTAATACACAAAATTCAGTCACTGTCCTATATATCGGCAATGAAAGCGTGGAGTTGAAAATTAAACTACAATACCACTTACATCAGCATCCCCCGAAATGAGACATATAGGTATAAATCCAACAAAGCATATACAAGATCTATAGGAGGAAATCTATTAAAGTCTGATGAAGAAAATCAAAGAAGAACTAAATATGGAGAAGGTATACAAGGAATTCCAAGGTATTCCATGTTTACGGATAGGAAAATTCAATGTTGTCAAGATGTCAGTTCTTTCCAAATTGATCTCTAGAGTCAATGCAAAATCAATCAAAATCCTTCCAAGTTATGTAGTATTGGCCAACTTTTTCTAAAGCTTATCTGGTTGGGGGGAAAAGATCCAGAGTAGCTAACACAATACTGAAAGAGAAGAATTTGGAGAATTGTCACAATTCAACTTCAGGAGTTACCACAAAGTTGTAGCAATCAAGACACTGTGGTATTGGTCGAGAATGACAGACAAATAGATCAATGGAACAGGACAGAGAGCCCAGAAACAGATCCACAAACATAGTCAACTGAATTTTAACAAGAAGCCAAGGAAATACAAGAGAAAAGACAGTATGGACATCTGTATTGTTATGGATAGGATATGAGGACGCCCCGCCCCGCAAAAAAAACCTCACATATAAGACAATGCAAGATCCTCAGAAGTGGAATCATTAGGTTATGAAAACTGTAACCTAATCAGTGGATTAATTCACTGATCTGGATTAGTTGAGTGGTAAATATAGACAGGTGGGGTGTAACTGGAGGAGGTAGGGCACTGGGGGTGTGCCTTTGGGGTTTATATTTTGTTTCTGGGGAATGGAGCTCTCTCCCTCTTCCTGTTGCCATGTCCTGAGCTGCTGTCCTCTGTCATACTTTCCACCATGATGGGCTTCATCTTGGGCCCAGAGCTAGGGAATAGGCTGATCATGAACTGAACCTCTGAAACCATGAGCCAAGATAAACTTTTCCTTCTCTACATCTTTCTTGTTGGATCTTTTGGTCACAGCAATGAAAAAACTAACCAAAACACGGGGAGGAAAGAAAAACAGTTAATTTATCTAGAGACAGAACTTAAGACTCTTTGAACATGAACTCAAACTATATTACAGACTTCACTGTAAACCAAAACACTAGAAATTCAGAAAAACGGCAGACTAAAGGAACCTACGGTAAAGGAGCTGCTCTCTGAGGCTGAGTCAAGACATGGGTTCTGTAGCTGCAGGATGATACAGAGGGATTGTGGGAAAGCAACGCCAAGAGCCAGCAACCAGGTGAAACCCAGAAATACCAGTTTTTGGATTAGAAAGAGAATTAATAAAAAAAAAAAAACCCTAGACTGCACCAGAGCTGGCACATCATGGCCCAGAGGGAGGGGAATCTTTGCTCCCATAAGCTAAAAGAAAGTTTCCCAGGGAATTTAAGAAAAGCAGCCTCTTCTGTCCAGCAAGACCACCATCTCAGCAGAAAAGACACTCTGACCCCAAAAAGTGAGCAGGTGCAGGAGTGACCTGGCACGTCCCACCAGATCTAGTGAAAGTGGAGAGGTAGCACCACCCGAGAAAGCTTCGTTGTTTCAACTTTCTGCACAGAAAATTAGAAATCCCTGCAGCTTTCCTTCTCTTCCCCTCCTTCCCTCCTCCCTCCCTCCCTCCCTCCCTCCATCCCTCTTTCCTCCCTCCCTCCCTCCCTCCACTTCGTGGTCTTTTCTTGCTCTCTTTTCATGCACCCAAGACCCAGTGGCCACCCAGGCTTTACTTCTCACTGGATCAGTGGGTGCTCAAGCCATGAGTCAATCTGGGCTCAGGAGCGATACTGGGTGGTGACAGGAGTCACCGCTGCCATGGATCAG